TATATATATATATATATATTAATATACTTAAAACTTGCTTAAAAAACATATCCCAAACAAAGCCTAAATTTTAAAATGTTACTTCAATCCTCGAGCATATTAGAATAGAGGTTAGATAACTAATGGCCTACTCTTATTAGATTTTGTTTGTGACAGCTTTCTTATTTCTTTCTAAAATAACCTTTTAGTAACAATTTTTTTTTGTTCTAAAAAATAGCTTTAAGAAGGAATAAGAAAGCAGTCCCAAATGAAATCTTAATTTAAAGCCAATACTTTTTTTTCTCCTGTGTTGGTTAGGGCTCCGCTAGGTTTGCTCCGGCGGCATGTTCGCGATGTCTCCCGCCTCCAATCTCTCCCAGGGGCTTTGGCCACCGTTTGTTTTAGGGAAGCTCCTTCCCTTTCTTATTTATATCGTTGCTTTTTTGTTGTTTCTGTGTCACGACCCAAACGACCGGAATAAATCCCGCTAGCATCGGGTCGCGACGGAACTTGAAACTTGAAATCCATGATCTAGTTTTGGGACTTGCTTCAGAACTTTCTTCCAAATGTAAAGACAAATAAAAACATAGAGCTGCTATAGACTTCCAAATGTACATAACAGTTTTTCTATATTTTTTCATCAAAATAATCATGTACAATACAGTTCATGGCTTACAGACAGAAAGAATAGAACAGAAAAGCCATGACTGTACAAAAATCAAAAGTACAAAATACCTAATCACTGATCAGACACAGAACTTCTAGTCCAAGACTTCCTTCCCCTTCCCAGAACCTGAATGCCACGCACAAAACAAGAATGAGCTAACAGCTCAGCATGACTAGACTCACCAATCCAAATTTCCAGAAATTCACATTAGAAAATACATCAGAAGCAGTTATTCAAATATCCATACATAAATCAGATAATCGTACAAAAATCAGAATATCAGACAAAATTCATATAATCAGACAGAACATATACTTAAATTCAGATTAGAGTGCAGAACAGATCTTATAAAACTTATAAAACTTTCAAATCACAGAACGGATGGAACATACAAATCAGAATTCACATCAGATAAAATCACATTTCACATATCACATATCAGATATCCCTGACCCTGACAGAATCTCGACGGATTCTGACCCCTTATGCCTCCCTTCCCTGACACTAACGAAATCTCAGATTTTGACCCCTTATGTCTCCCTTTGTGCTTATGACTCCCTTTTGATATCACAGTACATCAAAACATTCAATTCAGAAAATCGGATTATGTCAGAAAATCGTCAGCGGCATAACGACAGTATACAGAATTTACACAAAATTCACAGATTCAGAAATTCACCAAATTATCACAGATAATACAAAACATCATTGTTAAGACTTTCATTGTATTGAGATAGTAAATTCAGACATTCTGATAAATTGTTATTCGATCAAAACTCCGTAGAATTCAAAATACCTGGTAAAAATATTTCAAAAAATACTTAAAACGTGCGCAATTATCATCTCAGAAACATACCAAAAGTTACGATGTAAAACCTTTATCGGTACAAAACGGAATCAATTATTCGCTAACGGAAACAAAATCCGAAATAGAAAAGTCGTCAAAATCCTCGTTTCTGAAAATTGAGAAAGGCGGAATGGGCCTTATCTCGAGTCGGTCAACTTTCTCAACTGCAGATACGGACGAAAATGGACAAAAGTCGCCAAAAATCACTTTTTCTTCTTTTTCCTTCAAATTTCTCTCTCATTGGCTTTTCTCTCTCTTTAAAATATCTCATTTACATATATACCCATGTAGATCATCCCGGGACGATTTACCCTCTGGACGGATTTCGTACAGACGAAATTAAATATCGTACCTAGACAAGTTGCTCTCTGGAAAAATTTCGTACGAACCTTCCAGCCAAAATTTTCGTACGAACGAACCCTAGTTCTCTGAAAAAATATCGTACCGATAGTCCCAAGACGATCCAACTTCATTCTGGACGATCCTGGAAGGAAAACATGAAAAAACGAGCTTTCACATTCTGTGTGGCTTCTTGATTCGTCCACCTCCGGCCCTTTGTGGTCGGAAAAGAGGTGAGTCGTGTTTGTGATCCTGAATTTTTGGGTGGAGATGTGAAATCAAGATCTTTCGTTGATGCCCTAGCTGGATCTTCCTCTAATGGTGGCTTGCTTGAGTTAAAAACATCTTCATTTTGTGGAATTCCATCTTTGTGGATTTCGGAAAATGAGATTCGTGTGCTTGCGACTCCTTTCCAATTTGTGTTAGTGGTTTTTTTTTTCCATCATGTCGTCCTAGTTTGGATTTTATTCGCAAGTTCTTCTTCAACCTTAAGCTAAATGCTAAGTTTTCTATGACCTTGCTTGATGCGTCGCATGTTCTGATTAAGTTGTCGAATGATCTTGATTATAGCAGAGTATTTTGTCATAGATCATATTTTGTAAATAACTAAGGCCTCGTTTTTTTCTCCACGGGTCCTTCATGCTTTGGGTTCTATGTTTGGTCGGCCCTTAAAAGTCGACAATGTTACCTTTGTGGGCTCTCAGCCCTCTGTTGTGCGAGTTTTAGTTGAACTTGATATCACCAAAAAATATCCGAACAAAGTCTGGTTTGGTCCTGAAAAGTTTTGTTATATTCAAATGGTTGAGATGGAGGATTTTTACATCATTTTGTGATTCTTGTAAATGCATTGGGCATGTTATGGGTGAATATTCCTCCCATTCCTTTGTTCCGAAGACTTCTAATCCCACTATGTATGATTGGAATGATGCATCTACCGCTTTGGATACGGTTGTATTAGATGAAAATGTTGATGATGCCATTATTCCTCCTAATATTCCCTCTTCTTATGTGGATAATGAGGGTGTTTTGTCATCCACTATGGAGCATATTTATAGGCAGGTCATTAGAAGCGTCGATTTGGCTTTATGGAATGAGGTTGTTGATGTTGGTGAGGGTCATTTATTAATCTCCTGTGATGCTTGCAACGTGGGTCTGTCCGAACCTGTGGCTGTATCTATGGTTCCTCATGCGACTGTTTCGGTTATTGATGTTGTTCTCTCTTATGAGCCTGTGACTTTGACAACTTCAATTGCTTTATTAATGGGTTAAATTTTAAAATAGTTTACAACCCATTCGTATGTAATCATTATAATCATAGAATATAACATTACTTCAATTTAACCCGAATTGATAAAATATAATCTATTTGAGATCAATTTTATAAAATCAAGGCTTTATTGAAATAAATTTTATGGTACAATTACAATATAAACTATTTTAAATCAATTTTGTATAATAGATGAATTAAATTAAGACAACATAATATTTTGAGATTTTTTTTACATAATATTTTGAGATTAATACTTCATTTGGGATGACTTTTTTACTGTTTTTTAAAGCAACTTTTTAATACAAAACTTTTAATTTTTACTTAATTTTTGCACCAAAAAACTTCAGTAAGAAAAGCTTTGTTTAGAATAGTTTTTTTTTTTTTTTCTAAAATAATTTTTAGTAAAGAAATTTTTTAATTCAATAAAATTTTATGTTACAAAATTATTTTAGATAGTAAGAAAACAATTCCAAAAGAAGCCTAAACTAAATAAACAGGAATAGTGTGGAGACTACTCTAAAATTTTTATGAGTTCTTGATATTAAACTTTTATAAGCTCCAAAATCGCACTTAATTATATGTAATAATCTTACCTTACTGAAATTATAAGGCCACTGGAAAATACACACAATATACATAATTATAAGTGTATACTGAAGCAACATATTAAAAAGTTTATATATATTACAATAGATGACATTTATTTATGAATAAAACTATATAATTTATTATTGGGTATAAATTATTTAAGTTCTTATTATTTAGTTGTAATTATAAAATAGTTTTACATTTTATATACCTAAAATGCATATGCATTCGTCTTTTGCCTGCTGCAAAGCCTTATTTGGAGCAATTATTACATCCAGTGTCCGAATGCATTCAGATACCAATAACCACACGTCACGTCACCTAAAACTAGGTATTTTGGACTCAGTATTGCTCGGTATACATTCGCACCGTTCGATTTTTGACCGGATGTAATAATTTCTCCCTTATTTGAGACCAATATGACCTTTACTTTTCCTTCTATCTATATGCCATGTTAAGCTCTAACTTGGATTGCCATCTTCGGGGCAAATTATATATTCCATATTTCATTACAAGACTTGGACTTCTTTTGGGACAGATTTTAAAGTAACTTTCTATTACAAAATTTTGTACTAGAAAGTTGCTTTAGAAAGCTGGTAAAAAGCTGCCCCAAACGAAGCCTTAATGATTTGAATAGGATGTCTGATGTCTTAACGTAAATCACATCAATATGGATTTAGGCTTCATTTGGGATGATTTCTTACCGCTTCTTAAAGTAAATTTTTAGTACAAGAATTTTAATTTTATACTCAAAAACTTGCTTTAAGAAGCAGTAAAAAAGCTGTCCCTAATGAAGCCTTAGATGTCATCCATTTTGTACTGCAATTAGCCCTCTCATTTGATATCATATATTGTACTAATCTCAGCAACAATGGAGAACATCCAAATCCGCTTTCATGCTCTCATAGTCTCATGTGATTTACACCAAGTCATCCTATCACAATTTATTTTCTAACCAAATGGAAAGTTTAGAGCCTCCAAGACCAACATAAGTTCATTAGCAATAAGCATAATACAGGAGAATACATCAGCTATTTCCATAATAGATCCAGTTCACAACTCCAAATAAGTTTGTTATCCACATCATACAACAAATGAGTTAGGATCCATATCGATCAAGTAATTGTTATGGATAAGTACAGCATCTTAGAATTAATTGAAACTAAACTGAAAGAATATATTCAAATTTTGAAGAGGAACTAACCAGAACTGAGTGATCCAAATGCGTTTGTCCAGAGTGAGAAATACAGCAAGCATTGGAACCTACAAGATATAATATTTGAGCTTTACTTCTCCGCAAATACTAATGGAATAGTTTTAAGACTAAAAAGGCTCAAGAAGCAATCAATAAGGAAGCTAATAGTACCACAAAATACATAATAGATCACACTGATTCGTTCTTACAGGTCCGTAGGTTGAAATTCATGCCACCAATGACAAAAGTAGATATCCGGAGCCTGGAGATGTAGCAATGGAGGCGTGCAATCATTGCCAGTCATATATTTAAATTAGGCCTTCCACGTGAGAAACTCCTCTTCCTTTTTTTTTTAATTTAAGTTTCAATTTTTTTTTTTTTTAATTTAAGTTTCAATTGGGACGGCTTTTTTACAGCTTCTTAAAGCAGCTTTTTAGTATAAAAATTAAAAAACTGCTTTAAGAAGCTGTAAGAAAGCCGATCCAAATGAAGCCTTAATTGCAAACTCATACATATCACACATATAAGACCGCAACTTCAAAATCTCTTTATTGATAGCATAAGCTCTTAACCAACAAAAGAAGATGGATTACATAAAACCTCTTTACAGCACTAAATATGTCCAAACAAACCTGGAGCTCCTGATGCAAAAAGATATTCAATGCAGGAAAAAGGAAAGCTTTTGGATAAGTTCTTCAATAATAAATATATGATATTATGAATCCACGCCTAGGAACAAGCGCAAGCTCTATCATTCATACATATATATATGGGCAAGTCAAAATTGATTCAATTGAAGACTACAAGCTAGGGATTTTCTCCCATGCCAAATCTACATAAAAGGATGGTCTAACGGATGCCAGAAAATAGTATAAAATGGTGAAAATCTCGAACAGAAAACAAAAGGGAAATTAAATGACAGCCCCCAGAGAGAATTTGAAGGATTAAAAAACCATTGTATAGGTGACAAAAAACCAACCCTGACGCAAATATCTTCACAAGCTATCTCAAACAGGAACAAATGCCTTTAGTTTTTTAAGTCATATCCACTATTACCTTCCTGTATGTATAACAAAAGCAACGTGGCTATGTGTAACAAAAACAAAGAGAAAACAATGAATGCAGACCAAACCGTACTGACTAAGGCTTCGTTTAGGACATCTTTTTTATTGCTTTTTAAAATAACTTTTTAGTACAAAAAATTCTTGAACTAAAACTTTTTGTACTAGGAAGCTGATTTAGAAAGTAGTAAGAAAGCCACCCATCCCAAACGAAGCCTAAATGATGCAAAATAATACAAAATTCTCTAGAAAGGAATAAAAACCTAATAAAAATTGGGCAAGACAAAAAGGATGCCCACTGCCACACTTAGATAATGGTGAATGACCATGGAACTGATGCTACAAATGATCGGACAACCCCACTCCAAGTTCACCTTTTTACAAACAATCCCCATGGTTTTGGACTCATACTCATACTCTTGAGGGATAGCCGACACTTGCATGTATCACCAGCATCTGCGTGAGTTCTTTAAGAAGCTGAATGCAGAAAGCAATGGCAATACCAAGGGACAAACTCAATAGCAAACATGTCCCCCCTCGCGGATCGGAGAGGGAGTTTAAAAGCGAGTTGGGCGGGGGGCGAGCGACCACGATGCGAAGTTCTTCATTATAGCATGAGTTAGCAATAGAATCCAGACTCAAGCCAGCATGCAAAAGCTTTGTGCAATGATTTATGGTGAGGAAGGTATGATGACTGACACATGTATGCAATCCACAACCAGAATTTGACAAGACCAAAATGCATATGCAGAAAGATGGTATAAGGTTACTGAAGGCACAATCAACCAGATATAGCTCGACTGACAGCAAATTTAGCCCACTGGGCAGACTCTTTAATCAAATGCTCATCTGATGCTAAGCATTCTTCCAAAAAGTCTTTGCTTGAAACAGATTGGCTTATCAAAGGACCAGCATTTGCACCCAGTGTATCAGCCAGATCTCCAAGAACGCCAACTGCAGCCTTCATCACGATGTCATCCCTGAATAAAGCAGAAAAAAACACACGAAAAAGGCACATAAATATTGCTGCAATTGTTATCAAGCAAAAATAAAACAGCTTAAAAAACTTACATATCTTTTTCATTGTACAAGCTATCCAGGAACTGGAGAATATTGGACGCATAAGGCATCAACAACTGGGTCTTTGGAGAATTCTTGAAACCTTGTAATATACCAGAGTGAGCTTCCAGAATGCCATTCCTGAGTTGATTAGTGTACTCAATCATCTCATCATCAGCCTCTGCTACAAGTGTGGATAATTCTGCTGCGCTCTGAAGCATTGGCATGGCATAGATCAAATACTTCTCAAAGTTCTCCCCTATTGCCAATGCAATATCACCAAAACAAGAGAATATTGGCGGTTTCACGGACCGATGTAACTGATTGCTAGAGAGATCCTTCAGAAGATGTGTCATGATCCCATCACAGAAAGGCAGGATCTTGTCATCCAATGCTCTGCAAAGATCTCCAACAACTCCAACAGTGATTGCACAAACCTGATACTCCTCAAAGTTTTGAAGACCCATTTCCAGATATGGATAGAACCCTTGCATGTATTTCAAAAAATTATGCCCAGCTGCATACGCCAAAGCACCAATGGCTAGCATTGCCTCCTCATGTACTGTGGCATTTCGGCAAGCAAAAACTCTTAAAAACAGATCCATCATCTGATCGGTGTATTGCAGAAATGTATACTTTGTTGGTTCAGCAGATCCTAACTTCTGAATGATGACCTGAAGGCACCCACAAAGAAGACCTTGCAGTTCATTTTGCTTCTCTCTCTCATCTGATGTCAACTTTTGGGCCTCGAGGGTACGATGGAGTTCCACCATGATTACTGGGACAAGCTGCATCACTATTGGTGTTGTCTCGTCTGTTGCGCATCTAACTACTTCATTCAGAGTTTCATAAGCTGCAGTCCTTAAACGAGACTCTCCGGCATCTTCTCGGTGGGTCACACTTAGGAGAGCTTGAATAATGTCTGCAAAGAGAGGTGAAAGAGGTGATGCAGAACCTACAACTTCACAACCTCGTGCAAGGAAATATAGAGCACCACATGCCTTCTCAGCAACATTAGGAACATCTTTCATACACTGAAGTAGAACACTAAGGATAGTTCTAACAGGAATCTCCACAGTAGGCCCATGCATAAACTCAAATATTCTTCCAACAGTCCAAGCAGTTGTGTCCTTAACGTGATTGTTTGGGTCATTTATTAATGCAGTAAGCATAAAGTTCAGAGCAACATTTATTGTTGGGGTCAGCTTTTCCGGCGATGGTCCTTCCAAAATAGAACCAAAAGCGTAAGTTGCTGCTTCTCTTTGCCTCCAATCTGGTTTGCTTATGTTCTCTTCAATGAAAGGCATCACCAGAGGGACTATGTCATCTCCCACTGTCCTTGCAACCAAACCCAAGCATGTTCCTCCAGCCATTGCAATATTCCACGCTCCTTCATCTAGATCTTGATCCTCCTCCTGTTTAAGAAGTGTATCCAAAAGCATAGGAACTAAAGCTGGCAGGGCCTGCCTTATAAAATAAAAGCAAGGAGTATCAGAATCAGCACTGAAATCACTGCCATACTCATCCAAAATATCAATCTCTTCATCACAAATTGAGCTCCAGAACTCTATGGCCTGTAGAGCAACAGGTTCCTCATCCTCCTTCACTGCTTTTGCAGTGATGATAAAAATATCTTGCATGTATGAACCAAGCTTATCATAGTATGAAGATGAGATGGCAACCAAACACTCAAAAGCAGCTTGTCGAATCTTAAGCTCTGGGGTTAAAGTAGCTTCACAAACCACCCTCATAAGATAATCCCGTTCCATGTCATTCGAAAAATTTGCCTGCGCAAATCCCAAAGCATTATACAATGCCCGGGTCGCTGACAATCTGACATCATTATTAACCTCAGATGCATTCATACCTTGGACGACTGCGGTAAGTATCTTGTTCACTTGGTCTTGGTCAACAAAATCAGGAGAAACCTCCTCACATAAATAACCAAGAGTTTCAAGGGTTGCCTGTTTGACATGGGATTGCTGTTGTTGAATGTTTGATAATAGGGTGCTAATAAGTTCAGGCCACTGCTTGTGGGGCAACTCAATTCCTGCAACCTTGGCAATGACTTGGGAAGCTGTAGATCTAGCATCAGATACAGGAGAAGAAAGGGTCTGCAGCAAGCATCCTTTCACCTGAGCCTTGACAAACATATCTAGAGAAAGCCACCTCTGGATTAGATCATTTTTCCTGTGCTGCTCCTTAGCATCCAAAGTATTTTTGAGGATAAGTCCAGCTAATTTACGGCTATCCACAGGCTTGTCATTGTTTGCTAATTCACCAGAAAGAGCAAGAAAAAAACTAGGAAGGTTCTGATCCTGAAACTGGTTCAGACTTTCCTCTGCATACTTTCGAGCAGAAGCATCTACAGATTGAGCATTTAGAAGGACCTGGGTAATTTCCACTGCCATGATCTAATCTACCAAAGAAATGAAAAGAAATATCAGCAACCAGGATCTCAAAGTCAAAAAATATACAGTCAGATACATAAATTGTCATCCCAAGTGTAAGAACAGCAACAAAAGTGGACTAAGTTTACTAGTTTAGCAATAGAAATTTTATTTTATTGTATTTCACAGATCAGTAGATTGAAGGTCAAAGAGAGCCTCAATTTTGTTTTTTCAATATATTTGAAGCACAAAACCATATGAGGACAATCACATCTAAATGTTGGTGCCCATCTACTATTTTTTAACAAAAGACCATTTTATGATCAGGAAGAAAAAATATGCAACTCAGATTCAGTTAGCAACAACATCGATCAATGAAAAGTAGTTTTACACTGAAAATTTTAACTGCATATCTTGTACCCTACTCTTGCAGAAAAACTAGAACGAAATGACATCAACGAAAAATTTTAATTGCATAACTACACATCATTATTTCCGGTGTAGTTGTAAATACACATATTATGAGAGTTAAATTATAAAGATAAATCTCTTTAATGAAGGATAAAATAATATAAAACCTAACTACAAATTCAGAGTAATGTACCCTACCCTTGCTCTTTTAAGTCTCAGACGTCCTAGCTACTAATCATGATTTCTTCTACAATAACCGCAGCTCTCCTAAGCCTCTATCTTGACCCCCTCACAGCACAAGTATGAGACCCCTATCAGCTCCACTACCTTTTCCTCATTTTCCACGCCAGAAACAAGCTGTGAAGATGGATGGTCTCCCCCTCCATCACCATCAACAAAAATGTCTCTCCATCCACCAAGACAAGCATCTTCTTCCTCATCACTTCTAGTACTATGTCATTCCAGCAAAACTAGAATGAACGATATGTTATCCTACTATGCTGCCATCGGATTTTAATGTTCACCAAATCTCCTCACTACTCGCAAGCCACACGAGTTTGATCTAGGAGAATCAAGTCAATCTCAATTTGGGGCTAACTCAAGCTTGAAACCTAAGCTCCACACTGCTCTTTTAAAACCCTAGCTACTGATATATATGTATATTTCCATTGCAAATATCTCTTAACTGCACAAATCAAACTCAGCTCATAACTACACAAATCAAACTCAGCTCACTAGTCAACATGCTTGCTAGTAACAATATATCAACATAAAATTTACTGGTATTCTGTTTAGTTTTCTTTCACTCCTTCACCAGATCAACTACAGATCTAAAGGTATAGAACGCAAGCAAACCTATAACAGAGAACAATTTTTTAACTATAAGTAGTGTATTCAAACTTTTTTCCTTTTTGTCATGAAAGAAGTGTGTAAGCATTTGAGTTAGATCCATCAAAAGTTCCTCTTTCACTAAGAATACACGAACAACAGAAAAAATAGATCCACGTATATTGCTAAAATCCTAAAATTAACTTTCATACACGACTTAAGATTATAAAACCTAGCTGAAATAGCTCAAACAAATTGCATCCACAATTTCTTCAAAATAACCTCAATCAACTCAATTATTACTGATATAACGCTAAAGAAGGTAAAAAGCCCTAACCTTGGAAAGCTTATCTGAATCGAAGAAAAACTTGGACGGTTAACACAACAAAAAGAAAACATGCTCTCAAGATCAAAAGTAGGAAAAATGTCCAAATCACTCACATGGATTTCTGCCGAATTCCGTGCTCGTTGGAGCACTGGTCGTCGATCGACGAATTTCGGGCGGCTCGCAAACAGTAGCAGAGCTAACGAACGTAGAAAACCCTAAGATTAAGAAACGGATGGGCGACGCTGAGCATCCAGAGCAAGAGAATAGAAATTCCCAGATGGAATTCTGTATATACAAAAAAATAAATTTTGATTTTCTTATTATAATCTTAACCTATTGTTGCAAATTCCTCTGCAGAGGCTTTTAATTAACCTCAGGCGCATTTTTTCCTAAAGTTATTTTATATGATTTAGAATTTTGAACTAATGATAACCTGACACGTAGGGAGCGTATGTTAATGAGTTGGATGATACCCACGTGATAGTTTATCATATCCGTTAAATCCTGCTATACTATTTGCCCGACTGCACGAACCCAAGAACACCCGAGATTTGATTATAGACGCCCATTTGGTAATGATACGATACCGCGTTAGGGCCCGCAGTTGAAGTGTAGCGTTAGGGCCGTTAAAAATGGATGTCCTTGTTCAATCATTGCAGCTTATTCTCATAGATAAATAAATGGAACGATTATTAGGTCAGGTGATCTGATATAGCTCTACATTCGGACGTCAATAACATGTCGTCACATGGTCTTACTCAATGCCGTGCGGCCCGACGACTTGACCCAGGATTGTTATGTTCGCATATTGCTCGGTATTGCTAGGTATTTCTCGGTATTGCTAGGTATTCTTGGCAATAATGAAAAATATCGCTCTGTGAAGACCAATACCGAGCAATACCGAAAAATACCAAGCAATACCGAGAAAAACTCCGTATTGCTCGGTATTGGTCTTCACATAATGGTATTTCTTGTTATTGCCGAGCAAAATCGACCAATAATGAGCAAATACCGAGAAAAACCTAGCAACACACGAACATAGCAATCCCGTCTCTATTCCGGGTCGGTGTTGTCGGGCCGCGCTGTAAATAGTGAGAACATGTGGCAGTATTTTACTGACATCCGAACGTAGAGCTACGTCAGGTGACCGGACCAAATAAAAGTTCAAATAAATGAGATAGCTAGTCAAATATAAATAAAAAAATTAGATTGAGATTTAAATTTTGTTTGAGATAAATTTCTTACTATTTTTTAAAATAATTTTAATTCAAAATTAAAATTTTAATACTAGAAAGTAACTTTAAGAAGCAGTAAGAGAAAGATTACAAAATTGATTGCACATATGCTTATAAAAAAAAAAGAGAAAGATATAAATATGTAGAAGAATAATCGAATAGATTGATAGTTTCTCATACAAAGTCGTTCATTTGAGTTGTCGTTAGGGTTGATTTGATAGGTCGCACTGTCCTGATTGGGACAAGTTCATAGATGATAGTTTAGGGCTAGTTTATTTGTAGGCAAGTGAGTTATTTTTAAGCTTAGATTGAATAGTTGAGTTGACTTAGGCTTGATTTGGGACGGCTTTATTGCTGCTTCTTAAAACATAAAAGCTGCTTTAAGAAGCAGCAAAAAAAGTCATCACAAATGAAGCATTAATTTAAATCAAGCCATCTTGGCTTGAACTGTGCCAATTTGGGGTGAACCTAATTCTCTATATATTTTGCTACATCACAAGCATGAATCATATATAATAAGTCATCAGTGTTGGATAGAAACGAGCAAAATCGATCAACACTAGTAGTTGAACCAAAGAACATGTGAATCAATCCAATTTTTTACAAATAGGTTGATTATAATAATGATTAATTTATGACTATTAATTTTATTTTATTTTTTTAATAATGGATATTTTATTCCATCAAAACATAAGAGGTTACAATCAAGACCACAAAAACACAAATAAAGATTACAAGACAAAATTTAAAGTTGAAGAGAAAGAAGAAAATAAAGAAGGCAAATAAGTCAGCTAGGCTTAATAATTGGCACAAGCTTCTAACAACCACTTAGCCACCAGGCTTGGAGCATCCAGAGAAGGGAAAACCAACGATCCACATAAAAGACAAGAAGCATCCAGCACCCGACGTTTGCCACCTCTATTGAAAAAGGCCTTCTCAATAATGTGGTTCTCCTTCAAATTAAACAAATCATCAAACTCCTCATCGGCCCCCTCCAGTTGATCCCCCTCACCCTCGCCATGTGACGACAAATGCTCATCAAGCCAATCAGATTGGTTCGCACAAAATTCATGCAAAGACGAATCCAAATGGGCTTTCAACTCCTTAAAAATAATAGAAATAGGTATATTGTCCATTCCTTCATAAATTACCAAGGAAGAAGAGGACATATCATAACCAACAACAACATCAGGCAAACTACAACCATAGTCATTTAACACCACAATATCCACACCACACGAACCTAGGAGTTAGACACAATTAATCCTTCAAAACAACAGCTAGAGAATTATTCTCCACATCCTCAGGTACTAGACAAGCAGAGATCGTGACAGCATGATCCACTGCCTCTAAATCATCACTACTAGCATTAACAACACACAAGTTCTCCTCAATATGGCCAATCGCATCCAGATCTTCCGAAACCAAAACCACGAGTTTAGAAGAATGCACACCATCACTCCCAAATAATGGAAGCACAACATCACCACCATTTATGATGCCCTCATTAGAAAGAGAGGACTTGACATTCTTAATAATTGGATGGGGATTAGTTGTATGAGAAGTGCTGAGATGGGGGTTTAAGCTACGACATTCCACTTTGGAATGACCTAATGATTTGCAATGGACACAATAAGGAGGAAACTCTTCCATAACCACCGACTGAATATACCCCAAGTTTTCAGGGCCAACCCAAATTTTGTCAGGAAACTTTTTGGTAAAATCTAACTCCACCAGGACACACGAGCGATAGAAGGACGAGAGCCAATTGAAATAGCATTATCAGTTTTCAATGGCTAGCTAAAAATGGAGATAAGACCATGAAGGATTCTCGAGGAGAATAGGTGTGGCTGCAAGTGTGGAAAAGAGATCCAAATAGGAATGATAGGTGATTCAACTTCAACATCAAACATCGAAGACCATTTCACAAATTTCATAAAGCAATTGTTAACAAAGTAAGATCGATGGGAGAAAACTCAACAGTAGTATAAATCATCAACAAGCTTTATCAAAACATGCATAGGGTTAAGAACAGTAACCGAGCATTTACCATTAAGTTTTAGATTGAAAAAAAAACTTCCTAATAACATCAACAGAAGGTCTACTGTTGGGGAATTTGCCGACCAGAGAGAACTCAAATGGAATAGCAAGCGAATTTATTTCCTCTTCAGAAATCCAAAGAGCCGGCGGCCCCCTATGCGAAGAAATTTTGAGGTTAGGGAAAGAAGGCAATCCTTGGGAAGCAACAGCTAAAGCATCCTTGAATATCCGAGAAGAGCATTTCCCAAACAAAAAACCAAGATCTCTTAAGCGAGTTGCCTCCATAACCATAAAAATGATGAGGAAACACCACAAATGGAACTAGAAGAGGAAAAATAAAACTTCCCTGAGGAAGACGTCGGGGGCGACGACAAACGCGCGAGCAGAAAGATAAATGTCGCAAACTAGGTCACGAGAAAGCCCTAGCAGAGCAAACATCGTAGATGTGTGGGATGTCTTTGTGCTAAACTCTGGAAGCTAATGTTTCCTTGTAATTTATGTCTTTTAATTTTAATGAGATGGAGTGAAATAAAGGTTTAGATTAAAAATTTATTTAAATTTATACAACTTAAGTTTAAGTAAAATGCATTATAAATATAAAAAGTGACGTGCATATATTCTAATTTTATTTGTTATTAATATTTTAATCTAGCTGTGGTGCTACATATATGTTTGAAAGCATTTATATAAATATATTTATACTGAGAGAAAATAATCAAAATATTATGCTTCAAATTTTTTTTATTTAGAATCGCATTCAAAATATTTAATGGTAAGTATTATAATTCATAATAATATATATTTGATTGATAAAAAATAATATTATTATTATATAATTTAAGTCATATTAAAATAATTTTAATATTTATTTTATAATTGGTTTTACCCCTAGTTCAACATCAATTGAGCCTTTGAACCTTGAATCTCTCTTACTTTCAATTCAATATTTGATTTGATTTTCAAACTTTGGAATTCATTAAAATTCATGAAAGGATGGCATGCACTCATCAATTATACACTTACATTTATAAGCCATAATATTCTTGAACCGAATACGATACATTTAACAAAAATATGACCTGTTTAATCAGAACCCGACTAATTTATTCCGAATCCGAATGATAATCGAGTTTATTTTAGGTCAATTTTAATTTTTTGGTCAACCTAAATCCAACTTAAAAATTAATTGTGTCAAGATTTTTGACCTGAGCCCGACTAGAGATTTTTTAGTCCAAAACCAATTAAAAAAAAATCAATCCAGAACTTATGAGCTTGTCATAACAAGTTTTATATAAAAAAAATTTGTTCATGATAATTTAAACAAAATTTAATATACATATTATATTAATTTTAAAATAAGTTTAGCAATAATAAAATTCATGAGTCAAATTTCCTCTTGTATTAGATACACAACTTGTTATGAAATGAGATGAAAATTTTATTTGCAAGTGGATGGAAAATTTGACTTTATGTGCTTGAACATACATTGTGTGGCTCTCTTCATAGGAGCTTGTGACAGTGGCGTTGGTCTCATTGATGCTAGTCTCAACATGCTCTCAAAACAAGTTTCTCTTTTTTCTTCACAAGCTGTTGGGCCTAGCCATGCCTACTTGAAAGGAGCTTCGTTGTGAACTTAACTTCTCCCTCATACAACGCTGGTCTTGTCGATGCCTTCCACAATGAGCTCAATGCAAATTCTCTTTCTACTTTACGTAGTGCTAGTCCCACCGTAGCCTTCTCCCAACTCGTGCTCTCAACAAACTCTTATTCTCTTTTACACGCAACGCGTTAATTCAAAGCAATGATATAAGTCTTTAATTAGTCCAAAGCCCTCTAAAATATATTATTTGAAGTAAAATCTATGAGCCTTAGATTCAGTCTAGATACATAATCAAGCAAAAAAAAAAGACAATAAATCGCAAGCTATGGCCAAATGGAGAGCCACCCATGAGCAGTCAACAGGAAGCAACTAGAGGCAACACCAATAGAGAACCCACAAGACATCAACCTGCAAGAAAGAAAAAAAAAAAAAAAAAAAAAGAGGGGACAAACAAAACACCCAAGCAACAAACAGAGATGAAACCAACCAACACTACAAGAAAATAAAACCCCAACTGACTCCCAACCCAACTTTAATTTCAAGGATTTTTTTTAAACATTTATTCAAAAAAGGCACAAAAGATACAACAAATTCAAAGACAGACAAGCCACATACACTGGACAGTCAAAACATGAAAACAAAAGCGAAAGAAAATGGGACACATAAACAAGGAGAAGAAGGCACAACGGCCATCAAGCTAAGTAAAGACACAGACTTCGAACCACTCCAAATCCGAACACGGACCATCCAGAGAAGTGAAAGAGCAAGGACCACCAACAGCTAATCAACCGCCATCTCCGCTAAGAAGAATCACCACCTAAGGTTGCCAATTAGCTAGCCACGGATTGGAACGACGAACCCGAGCCACATCATTGCCCGGAAACCACTACCGAAAGTCGCAAGGTCAACAAGAGACTTAACCCGAAAAGCCATCAAGGATGACATTCAAATTGGTTCCAATTAGGCTTGTAACATCGCAAATCAATTCTAATTTGTTCAAAATGGCTTCACGAATACAAGTAGTTCTCCTTCATTGAAAGTAAGTTAGTTTAAAATAAAATTTTGAACATATTTCTGTAAGCGACGAAGTCAAATTTTGCAATGAAGTTTTAGAAGTCAGAACGCCATTACTCGGCGTCAATTTTATCAACAAAAATATCAACATTATCATCATTATCTTCACGGAGCGCACAGCACATGAGCAATATATTATCATTCTGTAGTTGTCCACGTGCCGGGTCATAAAAAGTCAAATATGTTAAATTATCTATATATCTAATTTCTAAAATTTTAATATTTCGTATATAAATCTAATATCAAATATATCAAATATGTTACTTTTATAAATAATGAGAGTCTATTTATAATTTTTTGAAAGTGATATGACTAATAAATAGTAAGAGGATCAAAGGTAGGTTAGAAGTATTTCAGATGGATGATCAGTATTGATTCCCTTGATCATAGATTATTTGTCAAGCATTTGAATATCTTAATGATGTCAGAATTCAACGATCTTAGGCTCGTTGGATTCGTCTCATCAAGACACTTAATTCGACTATAAGTATGTCACATTGGAAGTCATTTGGTTATCCAACTTATGCTTTGAAACTTTTAAATGCGTTTCAGATCCTAGATTTGGACCCATTTGGGCTCAAATTGGATTGAATTTGATGTAGTTGAGTTCATCTATTTGAGATGTTCATTTTTAATATAAGTTTGCTGAAATTGGAGTTAGATGGTCTGGAATTAATTTCAGAAGTTTAGGGTTTAAGTTTGTCTCGAGATTCATGCCTGATCAAGATTATTTTTTATGATATATCAACCCTATAAATTTTAATATTTTATTCCTTACACCCATATTTGATTTATGACTTATAGAGATGAAATATTGAATTTTAGATATTATATATGTAAATAATATAAGTATGTATATAAATCACTCTTTAATAAAAGAAGTTTACACATTTCTATAGCAACATTAAATAATTAAATATTGTTGTTAATAGATCCTAAATTTTGGATTAAAAAATAATGTTACACGAAATAATTGATAGTTAGTATAAAAATTATTGAATAATCATTAAAAAAATATTTATTATGACATAACTTAAATACATTATTATAAAGATATGATTTTTATTTATATAAATAATTTGCAGTCCTTGAAAATAAATATAATTTTTGTGAAAAATGACGGATACATCATTCAAAATAATTTTATTTATATATCTAATATTTCAATGCAATAGTTAATTGATTAAATATTAGTGAATATTAGTTTATATAATTAAATAAAATTTTAGGTGTCAAATAGTAAATTACCACAATTTTTTTTTTTTCAATAAAAAGTTAAAAACTAAGCAGATCAGGTGGTCATCTCCACCTACCGATCTGCTACCCGAAATTACAAAATTCCAGAGCCGGCGAAAACGCGTGAGGTATCGTGTTTCCCCGCTCAATCACCTCTATCTCCGTAGAGATCGAGAAGAGAAGAAAGGCGAAGGATCAAATTGCTTCGGTGAATCGGTGGAGAGATGTGCTGTGACGATTGCGAGTGCCGGCCCCTTGGATGGCTCTTAGGCCTTCCCTTCGCCCTCCTCGCCCTAATCGTTTCCCTTGTCGGCGTTCTCATATGGATTGTCGGGTGCGCCTTCTATTTCTTCGTTTACCCCTCGATTCGCATAAATTTCCACTTCTTTGTTTAACTCTTACTATTATGTGATTTTTGTTGCTTTTGATTTTGATCGGGCGACTTCTTTTTCAAAATAATATCAGGCTATTACTATCGTGCATATGCCCTTGCTGCCTCTGCGTTACGATTGTGGTTGAGATAGCGATCGAGCTGATCAAGGCTCCTATACATGTTATGCAGTGGTTCACTGCCCAGATCCCCTGTTAGAGTTTATTATGCTGAATCCAACTTCTTTTTACTTGTTCTGTTTATGGATAATGACTTGTTATTCTTTATAAAACGTCTTCGATCTATCTGTAAGCTTTTTTTTCTTCTAAACAGTTGATGTTTTGTGGTGTAATATCTTTGGTAGTTAAGATGTTTGATGATTTTCCTGTGAGAGAAAAAAAATTATATACAGCAGTTAGTTTCTTCTTTCAAGGATGAAAATCATGGCCTTATCCACCTTCGAGAAAAATTCATAATAGTTGATTTTATTTTGATATTTTTTTTCTTGGGATGATACAATAATCTAAAAGATTATTAAGGTGGAATGCTGCAGATTCAGCCGAGAATTGTTTGAACAGGATTTCGACAGGAAGAAATGAGTGATAATCACGCCTGTTTTGTAGAAAAAAACAGCGGTTTCTAATTTCTAGGATTCCTCTAAAATCAGATGCAAACTGATTTTTTTTTTTAATTTTGTCATAGAAATTACTATAATATTCTTCTATTTTTTTATTTATCTGTTGTCATTAAAAAAATATTTACATTTGTCAACACTGAAGACAAAGAATGATTCAAGGGAGAGAGAGAGAGAGGAGAGATTATTATTAGGGGTGTCAATATTTGACACGATCCGAAAATCCGACTCGAACTCGACCCAAAAATTTCGGGTTATGGTCAACCCAAATCCGAAATGGGTCGGGTTTAGGTTCAACATTTCGACCCGTTTCAAAAATCGGGTCCGGTTTGGGTTAACCCTTTGACCCGAAAGTGGCCCTTTTTTTACCTGAAAATTCGATTTTGACCTGGCAATCCAAGACTGACCCATTTTTTACCCAAAAAGAGGAGATTGACCCGCTATTGACCCAAAAATTAGCAATTTTTTTGTTGGAAATGGGTCATTCGGTTCATGTCGGTTTTGACCCGGACTCGAAGCGGGTCGGGTTCGGGTTCGGAAAACTGACCTGTTTTTAAAAACAGTTCGGTTTCGGGTTGACCCGAATAGTGTCGGGTCAGTTTCAGATTCGACCCAAACCCAACCCGTGCCCCGAAATTGACACCCCTAATTATTACTCACATACAGGGCCAAAAGACCGGAGGTGGACGAATCACAAGAAAAAATGAAACTACAGAGGAGGAGAAAGAGGAAAAAACTTTTCTAAGTTTGAGGCCGGCGAAACAGGGAGCAGCTAGCGCCACCGAAGGTGCTAGGGCAAACCCTAACAGAGCAGGAGCGGGAGTGTGAAAAAAGAGTTGAGCTATCAATGAGGTGACCAATATATTAGAGCTAGAAAACTAAGTATGTGATCTTTTCTTGTGAAATTGACTAGCTGTTTCTAGGTTTTCTATCAAGTGTTTGATGCTCTTATGATCGTGTTGAACAACTGGTGCTGTGTTTGATTGTTGTCAAAGTAAGGAGAAAAAAATAGAAAAAATGGTCTTAGGTTTCATTTGGGACGATTTTCTTATTGCTTATTAAAGTAATTTTTTAGTATAAAAATTAAAATTTTTTGTACTAAAAAGCTGGTTTAAGAAACAGTAAGAAAGCCGACCTAAACGAAGTCTAAATGATTAAACCTAGCTTTGTGTCTTTAAGCTGCTTTAATGAATGAGGCTGTTTCTAGTTCACTTTTTTTTTTACTAAGCCATTTGCTCAGTCACTCATAAGGTTTATTGAAGGGAAGTTTTTATAATAACAATTCAAAATCAAATTGGTTTGATCGATGAGCTCAGCCCAATATTGAATTCAAAATTGAATCGCTCTCATCTCTAACCATAAGTTGCTCAATCACTCATAAAGTTCATAAAAAAGATGAAATTTTTGAAGAAAAATACCGCAATCACCAAAATCCACCTCTAATTATCATGGTAATTAAAGTGCAGAGTTGCGAAATCTCAGCCATTCAATTCAATTTCTTTAAAAAACAAGTAGATTCAAGCTTCGTATGGGGCGGCTTTCTTATTGTTTCTTAAAACAGTTTTTTAGTAAAAAAAAATAAAAATTTTTGCACTAAAAAGTTATTTTAAAAAGCAGCAAGAAACACATCCCAAACGAAGCCTCAATCCCAACCATCAACAGCGAATTGGATGGTTAGAATTTCGTAACTTTATCTTCCCACTATCATGTTGACTATGGAGAATCAGAATCAAAGCCAGAAACTTCTGCAGACAAGATTGCACCACGATATTCAACTGGCTTTGCTTCAGCAGCCAATTTGATTTATTCAGCAAAGTAAGAAGAAAAAATAAAATAAAAAAGGATCCATGAATCTTCCCCTCAGCTACTCTTCATTTGTCTGACAAGAATATTTCTCCTTTTACAATTTTATTTTATATTTTTATTTTGGATTCATCAGATGAGAGATGCATATAAGATCTGGTTCCATGTATCTGGAAGCCCAGCAAGACACCAATGGCTGCAATCCAAACCAGGGTGGCCTCCACTGAATGAAGAAGGGTGAGCATCTTTCCTTAGCTGGGAAAGAAAGGTGATATCGAGCAGATAAACTGGCTTCGTTATGGTATTCAGCACATTACCCACTACTCCTTGCTGTGGCAGTGGCAGAGATCCGCTTGGATTCGTTGATCCACTTGCAGGCTGTGTTTGTTTGCCACAATTTTTCACTCCAGGTTCTCCCCAATCCTGTCCTCTGATGCCCAATAAAAGAAGAAGCTTAAGTGCTATTATTTTCTTCATTGGTATTTATTATGTAATATGTATTAGATGTTTGATTGGGAGATATTTAAATATCAAAAAATTGATAAAAATAAATAAATATTTATATTTCATCATTTAGTTGGAGTATCTCCTACCCTGCAATATGCATGTCCAAAACACTTAGGGGATGGGGTAGCAGGATTTAGGTCAGATTTGAGCTGGATTTGAACAAAATCAAGCCAAACGGCCTAAAATGCAAAACCAAATCCCACGGAAAATGAAAGCCGCCGTAGATGGAAAATTTCGCATTTTCGTGCTAAATCCCGGATTTCTGAAATCCTGTTTTTTGACGGATTTACGAAATCCGATGGCTCGAGAGGAAGAGTCTGCTCGTTAAAATCATTTCTATAGCCAAACAGTCACACATGATTTAATAGGATTTATCATGAATGTTACCAAACAATTTTTAGGATTTAGGCCCCTCGAATTTCTGAAATCCAGATTTACGAAATTCTACTTAAATCAAATCCTGTGTGCTTCCAAACAACCCTTTAGTATATTTTACTTCACTAATCTACTTTCATTAGAAGCTACTCCTACAATACATCTTATATAGCTATATTTTTAACTCGATCCTTTCTTATTTTATCATAAATTAACCTTAACATTCTAAGTGTTGAAAATGCTAGCAGATCATATATTGCTTACTGGTAATGAACTGGAGAGATCCCCTGGAAAAAGACCTTTGTAGCAGTGGTGTTCACACTAGATTCTACCCATTTGGCCCAAGTGGTTAGCCCTTTGGAAAAAGCTTCCAGGCGGTCCATGTCCTTCAAGACTTTATCTCCATCCTGAATATAGTCCCATCTGCAGAACAAATATAAATCCAATCGTTAACTAATCATTGAAATAGTTGTTAAGTGAGCCTCACCCTTGGCTTGCTGCTCCTTTGTGTATCCACCAATGCCAAGTGTTGAAGATTAGAAGGTCAGAGTTGATCCATATGGTGCTGCTTGATATCGAGCCCAGATCGAGCACTCGACCGATTGACTCGGTCGAGATGTCCACAAGATATGGTGATCGATAGAACATTATTGAGACCACAAAGTCCTGTTGACACATTGAGCTTGGTATGTTCGTTAGAAGCAATGAAAGTTTTAGCTATGTTACATAATATTTTCTCATCTTGGGTTGCCTCAAAGGTGGGGGGTGGGCAAATTTATAAGTAAAAATATATAGTTTTTTTTTTCAAAAATATCTATACAATCAAAATATGTTCCGAAGGTGCTGCCTCTTGATCTCTATTTGATCATCGTCGTACATTTCGCAGATATGTCGGGGGTCCCAAGGGACAGCGCCCCCTACGGGGTTCAACCTGACAAATTAGGATATTTTTGGATTCTCTTTAATATTTGTCTTTGTATTTGATTCATCGTTCCCTAATAATAATATATCTACACAATATGTTTAATTATGTTCCCTGAATTCATAGAATGTAATCGCTTAATTAAGATTAATTAAGAGTTTATTCCTTAAAAAAGTTTTGCTAATCAACTATGCATAATTTTTACAATTGTTAATAAATTACAGTAATGTGCCGACATTATTAATATGACTAAGAAATTTGAAGAACCATACCACAAACGTGACTGAAGAGAGTGGATCCTTCCTATCAATAGAGATCTTAGAATCTGGAACAGCAGAATGAAGCATGCAGAGCAGAGACTGCCACTGATTATAACTAATGGAGTCACCAACAAACATCATCTTCTTCCCCCTCCATCTTGTCAGAAAATCCTTCCCATCAAATCTTCACTCACCATTCAGAAATCTTTCAGAAACTAAAACTTACAGGAAAAAAACTTATCAGAAATTATTTTTTCCTAAGTAGTAACCTTGGGAGCTCACAGGCAGTAGGCTGCCACTTATACTTGAGGTAGAGCTTATCAGGGCGGCCATATTTCTGGCAGTCGAACTCCGGATCGATGAAGGGACAGCTCGACGAGTCGTAGAGAGGATATGAATCATCATAGATCCAATTGCCATGGAAAAAGTCACAGCTGATGCTGCTGGCTTTCGCCGGCGGGGTAGTCTTCCTCCGGTGATCTCCGTGGGTTCTTCTTCTTAGAAGAGTGGATTCACATAAAGCTTCATGGAATGAAGCAAGAAGAACAGATAGGAGAATTATATGGGCTATGGCTCTCCTCATTGGAGAGTTAGAAGAAGAGTCATAAGAGTGGGATGGGATACAGAGCTTAAGATTTTTTCTGCAAAATCTGAATTAACAGATGAGAAGAGAGGAATTTATATATAAATTTATATTGTTATTCATGACAATATGCAAAGTATTTCTGTTAAATATTTTTTTAATAATTATATAAAAACTAATGAATTCATGGAGACATAGAAGCTCTCCACTTGCAATGAACTGCATAAGCCAACGGCCCAATTTAAAGCAGTGCTGCAGCGTGTCTTTTTGGTTCACAAAGGTGCCAAGAAGCATGTGAATATTAGGTCTACTGATTTATAAATAATTAAAATATAAGATTATATCCCACCGGGTTTAGCTGGGTTGGTGGGCGAATGTGGTTGGGAATCCCCAACCCACGTTTGACTCCTCTCTCAAGCGGAGAGACTCCTTAAGTGGGGACAGAATAAGTGCATGGTCCAACACCTGTGACACTGGTTGCCGCTAGGCCCGCCGAGTGATTAGTTACTCCGCCAAGTGCCCCCTCTATGAGGTTGAGAGTTCCATAAAAAATTAAGATTATCTCTTTTTCTATAAAGAGTTTTTGGGTTATTTTATGGTATATAATTTTAATCAATTTTCTTATATTTTAAATTCTAAAACATATCACAAGCTTTAATACAAGTTTTTTTTGGAGGTTATGTACTTATATTGAAGTAAATAATCTCAGAAAGTATTAAAAGATTTGGAATATGGCATAAGATTTTTTAGATTCACAATTTTCATTTTATTAATTGTAAGAAGGTACATAGTTAGGTATTTTGTATTAACTAGGGTTTTCATCTATCTGATTTCAAGCTGTTCTAACTCTTAACTTATAATCAACTCAAAATTATTCAGTCTTTTCTTTAAGCCAAATTTAGGCTAATAATAGGTTAGCTAAATTTGAGCTAAGCTCAGAATATTCAAACATCATTAAAATTATTAAAATTGAATACAATCTTGTTTGGATTAAATTTTCTAAGATTATTTCAACATTTGAACATACATACATTGATAATACATATCAATATAAAAATGTTAATTTGTTTTTTTTTTTTTTGGAGAATTAAGGGACAATGCTCTATTGCCTCCGAAAAGTTCACACCCTCGCCTCTCCTCGCCGGTTCTTTCTCTTTCGATTTATTTATATGAGCGGAGAGTTTTAACGAGCTTGGATTCCAGTGAATTTTTAGAAGGCATGTTGGGTTTTAGATAAGACACTACTAAGAGATTTCGCCCTCATCTTTGTGAGGACTTTATGATATGAGTTCTGGTTTCCTATAGGTGCAAACCCCTATAATTAATTACCCATCTCGATAATGAGATAGAACTTTCGATTAAGGCTAGTCATGGGATAGGTACTAAATACTAAGCATATAGTAACAACAACTTTATTATTTGAATTTTGTTTTATGATTTGGAACCTACCATCATAAACTTAAAATAGGTGATGGTGAGAATGAAGACGGGCCTGATCAAGATCTCATGGTTCTGTCGTCTAGGGCTGTCAAGGTCCTTTGTCTACTTAGTCAAAGGAGGTAGTCAATCCAACCTTACAGAAGGCAACTTATCTGCAGTCATGGGTTGCTTCATCCAAGAATGCCTTGAAGACCTGGGATGGTGTTTGTCTAAGGAGATAGATCTAAATCCATATTAGCTGGCATAGGGCTTTATGCCTATCGACCTGTGATTAATTACTCAAGGGTTTGACGCCATTAGGAAATATACGGGGTTTGGCCGTGATCGTAATATAATGATGTCATTTTGCGGCAAAATCATCTAATCAGAGGGCATGTGCCACGTCTCTAAGGATATTACCAGCCTATTGAGAACGGAGAACGGGAGAGAACGAGAAGGGCTAGGGGTTTCGCTGCTTCGGTTGGCTTCAATCGTGTCTCTGAGGTAAGTTTGAATGCTTGGTTTTATGTCATATAAGGTAGTTACATGAGTGGTTGCATCGTCTGAACAAACATGGTTAGTGGGAATCATCATTTGGGAAGATCGTACATGTAGGTGGAACAGATCGACAATTAGAGATAAACACACTCAGACTCACACGCACAACAAATATGCATGACTTAAACTCAAAACCTCTTAGTTGATAGCAAAAACATCCAACCAATAAATCAAAGAGTGTTGCATAATCCTCAAAGATTTAAAAATTTGAGATTCTATGAACATTTATGATCGACAATTCAAAAAATGAGCATATTTATTTAATGGTTAGATTTTTTAGTTCCAATGATAAGGTCTTGAGCTTAAAATTTGATATATTGTGATTAAATAAGCTTAAAAAAAATAATAATAAAAGGCCTATATGCATATTTCTAATATAGTTATAGTTTTTTTTTTTTTTGCTGAACATTGTCGCACTATCTATTATTATTGCAAGTGGAGTGCGGTATGGACTGAGGAAGCCTTCCTGTACACTTTTATATTCTTTCATTAACATAGAAAAAGTTAATTCTATACAGTGATGCTGTGCGTCATCCACCATCAGATGCAACCCAGCTGGAATCAGTACCTTGAAAGGCAATATTGGAAGATTTTTAAAATTCAAAATCAAAATTAATTTCTATTTTTTTCCAATAGAATTTGAAATTTAAGAAATTTCCGTCTTTAAAGATGTTTTTTTTTTTTTTAAAGATGCCTCAATGTTTGAGAGTTTAATTTTTTTTACTTAAGTATTTTTATATTAAGTCAGCATCTTCTAATCAACAATCAATATTAGTTTCTTCATTCAAAGTGAGTCAGACCCTATGGTATTTTCCCATTTTTAGGGGCTTTTACGTAAAAATTTTGATGTCTCTTATGAATGTTACATCTCTATTTTTTATATGTTTGTGAGATGGATCTTCGTACAAAATTAAGACGTTAAACTTATAACTCTTTATCACTGTGAATATTCCATGATGCAGCAATACTAATAAACAATTGAAAAAAAAAAAAGTAAATATATTTGGGTCACTTGAAGATATGCAGAGTGAGCATAGATTCAGACTAAAACACCTCTCTCGTAAAGCTGTATGAACTGTTACGAATATGAAGTGCTGAAAGAACTGCAATTACCTAATAATATAGTCCACATAGAAGCAAAATATAAGCGTTGGCTAATTAAGTGCTCAACATTTGGCCCAAACTAGTAGTGGCGGATTTAGAATATATTTTTTAGCATAGGTATAAATTGATTATTATTATTAAAATATCATTAATATTTTTAATATTAGCTCTAAATTTAAAACATTAGAGAGGACATAATTAAATATTTATTATGAATTTATGTAAATAAAAATATACGATATAAAAGATTCTTTTTTTTTTGGAAAATTAGAGGTAGCTTTCAAACTTACACGTAATACATATGCGAGACTCGAACTCAAGACCTCTTAGTATGGAGTCAAATTCTCAATCAAAAAATCAAGGAGAGATACAATACTTTAAAATTTTGAAAGAAGCATACGTCCCCTTTTAAATTCACATTTAGCTCAAAGCTTATTATTTATGAACTCTTATATACATATTTGGCCATTTTGAGCTTCATAAGATGATATGAGTTTTATATAAGAGGTATGATAAATTGTGCTATATTGTTGAAGTTTAAATAAGCCTAGGGGTGTCAATATTTGACACGACCCGAAAACCTGACTCGAATCCGATCCGAAAATTTTAGATTAGGGTCAACCTAGACCCAAAATGGGTCGGGTCTGGATTCAGCAGATCGACTAGTTTCAAAAATTGAGTCAAGTTTGGGTTGACCCAATAACCCAAAATTGACCCAATGTTGACCTATTTTTGACCCAAAAACCCCTTTTTGACCCGGAAACTTGAGATTGACTCGATTTTGACTCAAAAATCGGAGATTGACTCATTTTTAGACTCGAAAGCCAACAATTTTTGGTCCGTCGTAGGTTATTCGGGTCATGTCGGGTTGACTCAGACTCGAAGCGGGTCAGGTTCGGGTCCGAAAATGGGTTAGTTTTTGGTTGACACGGATAGTGCCATGTCAGTTCCTAGTTCAACCCGAACCCGACCCGTGACCTGAAATTGACACCCCTAAATAAACCCTTCAACTAGGGCTCACTTCTACTAAATGTAGGCTTGTTTGAAAAAAAAAATTACTGCTTTCTTAAATAACTTTGTAATTCAAAAAAAAAAAATTAATCTGTCCAATAATAATAATAAAAATAACCCTTAACTTTCACTAGGAGTTATTGCACTATTAATCATAGGCCAAAATAAAGTTTGATTAGATTGCATACTTTTATGATAAAACGAGATCAACTACAATCACATGAGGCCTCTGACTTATCTGACATTTTCTCCCTATCTCTCTTTTAATACCAACTAATCAAACCCTTTTTAGAATATAACTTCAACACCATAATATTTCCCTTTCACTTAAGACTTGAGAGCCTAGTTGAGCTAGCCATGAGCTAGCCAAACTAGCCAACTCACTTTGAAGACTAAGGCTTCGTTTGAGACAGTTTTTTTGCTACTTTATAAAACTGCTTTAGAAATTTTAATACCATAAAGCCGTTTTAGAAACAGCAAAGAAACTGTCCTAAACGAAGCCTAAAGCTTCATTTGGGATGAGTTTATTCCTGTTTCTTAAAATAGTTCTAAAAAGTTACTAAAAATTTGTTTTAAGTGTTAGTAAAAAAGTCATACTAACACTTCGTTTGAGATGACTTTCTTACTGCTCTATAAAGCTACTTTTTAGTACGTACAAACATCTCTTGAAAGCAAGAAAAAAAAATAGTGGTCTAAACACCGAAGTAGCTTGCACAACTAATTTTATAGAACACTACCGCCATCCCAAACAAAACCTAATTATATGACTAAATTCATTTAAATTAAGACAGCAGATCATAAGTTTTTTTTTTTTTTTTTTTTTACCGCAGATCATAAGTTCTATTATAATAAAACATGATAATTATTTTAAGAAAATAACAATATCTCTCACATGTTAAATTATTTTTTGGGGAATAATAAAGGTAAAGATACAAATTTGACGAAAATAAACTTAAATCTAAAATCTTAATAATAATTTTTTAAAAATAATTATCAATTAAGCAGCTTAAGCTGCTAGCCTGTCATTTGTCAGAAAACAATATGAAAATTACATCATAAAACTACAATTTTTTTTAGCTGTATTATGATATTATCGATTAAAAAATAT